TCATCTCACAATGTCGCTTGGGGCCCCAAGTTGGCCAGGGACGGCCCTGTGTGTTTTTCGAATTAAGCACCTACTGTACATCATGTGTTTCTGAAGAAATGGGAAGAAATAGAGCCATGTCTAGACGAAAATATTTCTTAGAAATAGTCTTGAAGTATTTCAACAGTAATGACAAAGTGGTGTTAATGGATTGTGCCAGTAAAGATCTTTATATGTTAGTTGTTTGGCAGAAGTTAGGGTCAGAAAAATGTGTGTATATCCGGCCTGATGCAGAATTATTGTGATGGAAACACAACTATGCTTGATCCTCAATGTGGAAGTTATTATTATTACTTGCTTTGGACTGGAAAGATACTATACAGTTTTTTGTGATGTGATCAAGGGGATTAACACAGCATCCACCAACCAGACGGTCCAAATAGATTCTGTCTTCTTTGCCTAAATGCCTCGTACTAAGTGATGCATGAGTCAATGCTTTTAATTGGCTTTCTGTTACACAACATTATTAAATTATTTGTCCTTATTAGTTCAGCAAACATTTCGATCACGCTGAGAACTTTCTAAGAACAACATTAAAACAATTCAGTAATTATTGACTGATGCCACTTTTTTTTCTGAGGCTATAAAGTAGATGAAACCATTACAGTGCCTGGCAGTTAAAAAAGAATGAAAAGAGAGGCACAGAAAGAGAAAGATTGGGAGCGATGGCATCTGGATGAGATTCGGCATAGTGCATATGAAGCACATGTGGTCTGGTGTAATTTACAATGTTGTCATGGAGGTGCGGGTTATAAGAAACTGTTTTGCCTAGCAACATTCACGGAAAGGTGGAAGGGGAAAATGTTGTGCTGGCAGGTAAGAAGAATATTTTAATACCGTGAGACATCAACAGTTTATGTGTTCCATCGGGAGTTCCAGCCTTTTCTGAACCCAACGTATGAATGCCAAAATAAAAACTATCCGGCTTTAGGATTATAGTTGGTTTACTGTCACAGCTTCAAATCTGAGCAGAGATTAACATTTAATTGCAATTAACTTCCAATTATGATACAAACTACAGCACACTTAGAATTATGAAATTGAAATATTGCCGCCTCTGGAGGTCACAATTTTTATTATACTCCAAAATATGATGGTGTAGGAATGAACCAAGAATATCTTGACATTACTCTGCCATTATTTGCGGTCAGAATAATGGGGAAATAATTTTGAAGATAGGATAGGAAGATCATGATGTCATCAAGAAAATTAGGATATTCCCATCGGCCTCATCTTTTTCTCATGTCATTATGCTTTTGCATTTCCTGAATAACGGTAAGCATTCTCTAAATAGCTAGATTGTTAGCCTAAGTAGTTCATGACATCAATGTTGCATTTGCCTAGCAACAGTATTCTTATAAGTTGACCAGCTTTTTTTAAAGATCTTTCAACATGTCACTGTTATCATAAGGGTTTTGGCCGGTTGTTGTGTAAATGGATGTTGACCTAAAATGTTGTACGGACCGACTGACCTACTGGACTATATCAGCAAGCCTCCGACAAACAGGGGAAGAATGAAATGTAATAAACTTCTCTCCGAGACTTGTTCCAAGATTACTATGTGCTCTCAGAGCCCTTTTTTATGTACAGGTACGATAACATCACTTGGGCATATACCTTTTTTTAAATCATACAGCTTTTCCAATTGTGTAGATAGTGAGGAAATGCAATGATAACACAATAGGTCAAGTTTTGTCATCTTTCATCAGTTCGACCAAGTAAGAGTGACAGATTTAGTTTTCATATAAAGAATCCGGCCACGGCTACCTATGTATAACAGTAAGAGTTTCAGCACACGCTAGGGTAATCTTTTTAAAACTTGGCAGACACATTTAAAAGGCTGTCAGCATTAATAACTCATCTCAATCTAACAAAATGCAATGATTGATTTAGTGTCTTTATCAGATAATACATTAGTCTTGGCAGACGTAAAGGCTCTTTGGACATATTTGAAAAGGATTCTTGTAAAGTTTGAAGTGTGAGAATATAAATGTATTTCTTAAACTTGTCATCATGATATGTAAAGCACATTACACACTGGCTCTGGTATCTCTCGCACTGATGACAAAAGGTATACACTGGGTTTTGCTTTTTGATTACGTTTGATTATTGGAAGGTCTCGCTTGGGGCAATCAATTTAATGTGGTTTTGCCCTGAAATGGTGTAATTGTTAGGGTATTCTAGTGGACTTTTCTTGACAATAATAATATATTAATATAATATAATAATAGCTGTGATAACAAAGGGGTGAACGCCAAACTGATATATTTCTGACCTTAAAGGCTTTGTAAGTTCAAATATTCACATAGAAGATTTGGTATGCAATAAATGAAATACACTACACTTTTTTTGTTTGTTGGGAAAACAGGTGCAAGATGGTTAAACAAGAGCTACAAAACAATCAGTTCATAAAGCCCCTTTACATAAGGGGTGTCAGCTACAATCGAAACCAAATGACAACTTTTTATCATGGAAACCACCAAATGTGTGTTACAAAAGCTACAAGCAGCCATAACAACTTTGTTGACTTTGACTTTTTCCCCTTCTCACCACAGTAAAAACAGCAGATATTTCGCAGGGAGAAAGGTCAGACACTCAGTTTGCAGCTCTTGGCCGTATACATTATCAGTCAGACTAAAATAGAAATGTCACTGATTTAACGGTTTCTGAAACCTCCATTAGACTGATACCTCGATGGAAAGTATTTGAAAATACTCCTTTGTTGCTGCTTGGCTGTTTGGCTCTTACCTCACATGACTGGATGCAATGGATGTGTTGCGGGTCAGGGTACCACTTCATCATCCCTGTGCAGACTATGCTCTGGAAAACAAAGAACATGAGAACGATTGAGCTAGGCAGTCACAGGACAGGAACAACTAGTGTTAAGGCTATGAAAAACAATATCATAATCATTCACAAAAGCATTTTTGTTGGTTTTTTGTAAACTTAAGATTTAAAGTACATGAATTGACGGCTAAACGTATTTATTAAACTCTACTTTATGTTGTAGATCATTTAAGATGGAACTTGGAAGCTGGGTTACATTGTACTATTTTCAATATCCACTTTGAAGATAACCAAAGGTGCAGGACTGCTACTTACAGACTTTGTGATGTCTATTGTTTACCAAATATTGCTCCATGCCAGTTTCAAATTCAGTCAAATGTTTGATATGCTCAAATTTAGGGTAGCTACTTTATTCTATGGGAGGATACATTCGCGAAACATATTTCTTGTCAATATTTCTAATAGATAATCATAATTATTATTATTATATATTTTTTTAATAATATTATTATTATTACTTTTGCTTTTGGGCCTGACAGTTGTGTGGAAGAAAAAACTAATTTGACCTGCATAAAGTAACAAAAAATTACTTTAGAAGTAGTTCTAGAGTTAACTGTTATTGTAATTGTTTGCCAATAATCTACTTGGACCTGCCTTGCCTTTCATGAACTGTAATCCAAAATATGAAGTTTATCTTGTACTTTTGCTTCCTTTTTGCAGTGTTTGCTTTGATGAAAACCTGTTTTGAAAGAAAAAAACGTAAGTGGATGACTAAACAATTGCATGGGGAGATTTGGATGAGGCTGTGGTCTTCTGTCATTTATTTGACCCCGGGAATGTACAGATAGCTGATTGACTAACAAAGAGAGAAAGTGAAACCTCCCCTGTGTCCAGCCTCCCTCCCCAGCAAGGGAGACCAGATTCTGAAATGTTAGATAACACAATGCCTTGAAAATCATCAGGCAGTGCCAGAGCTATGGCGTAAGTAACCAGACTTCCAGCCAACTATTTGACCTTGGCAATGATGGATTAACTGGCTGGCTGACTGACCACCCAAAAGTTAGGCGAAACTGGAGCAGTGTTTGCAACAGCATTAACGTAGAAGCGATAACTGAGGTATGATATTGGGTAACATTACCCACCTTTAAAGCAAAAAACAACAGAGCTCTAACTCAACCTAAGAACTGACATTCCTAAAGTTTGTTCAGGGTGACCTTTATACACTGTGTGTGTGAGGGCTGTGTACTTCCTAAAAAGGCTTTGACGTCAACAGGAACCTTTACTCTTGCTATCTGCCTGTGATTTCCAGTAATGCAAAAGCACTTAAATGATAACAAAGGCATACACGTGAGGCGGATTTTGTTGTGTGATTCGTTGTGATTAGCTGGCGCAGATTGGAATTAAAAATGGAATTGAAAGATACTGTCTCGCCAGAGATTCAGTCAAACATCTGATATGAAATACATTTCAAATACTTTGATGGATGGAAAAATTCCATTTGACAGTGAGATTCATTTTTAAGCATTCTTGCTGAGTTTTGAATCTGAGGTTATTGTCTTGTTTTAAATAAATTATGTTCTATTGAAGAAAGGTTTGGTCTTCTAGAGCAGTGTTTCCCAACTATGCGAGGGAACTGCAGGGGGTACGTGGAATTCCAAGGTGACAAGTAAAAAAAAGTAAATAATCCCATCAAAAATGATAGTGCACGATTAGTTTCCCTAGGGAGACAATAGTCTGTGGCACAACCGCGCCAAAATCTCACAATGAAAACAGCTGTTTACCTGCAGCCAGAAAAATACTGGTAGGTCTGCGCTATGGATAAATGGCTGAAACGTCCGCTTGCTCTGGATTCAGGCCAGGGTTCAGAGTAGCCCGCCGAGAAACGTAAGAAAGAGGCCAAACTGAAACCAAGGCAGTACAGTGAAACATATATATTATTTGGATTCATTTCTACTTCTGCGGACCCACCGCAGCCTCAGTGCTTCTTTTGCGATGAAGTCCTGGCTAATAGTGCGATGAAGCCAGCGCATTTACAGAGACACCAGAGCACCAAACACTCGGGAAGTGTCGATAAAAGTGAAGAATTTTACAGACGAAAGCTGTCGGAATTTAAGTCGTGCCAGACAGTAATGATGAAAGCCACGAATGTGTCAATGAAAGCACTCGAGGCATCTTACGCCGTGTCCCTGCTTGTGGCTAAATAAAAAAAACCTCACTCTATTGTTGAGGAGCTCATTCTCCCTGCAGCGACTGCGTTGGCCGAAATTATGATAGACAAGAAAGCAGCCGAAGCACTCAAGAAAGTTCCCCTGTCGAATAACACCGTATCCCGTCGGATCAATGATATGTCTGTTAATATAATTGGACAAGTGGTGAACAAAATAAAACTAGCCGGTCAGTTCGCTTTGCAGCTGGATGAAATGACAGACGTGAGGGGAGAAGCGCAGCTCCTGTCCTTCGTGCGTTACAAAGATGCGTCAGACATAAACGAGCATATTTTATTTTGCAAAACGCTGCCAGGAAAGACAACTGGGGAAGAATTGTTCCAGGTTATCGACAGCTTCTTCAGAGAACATGATCTGCAGTGGAAAACCTGCAGCCACATATGTACTGATGGAGCAGAGCTGCGATGACAGGGCGTGTAAAGGGACTTTTTGGGCACGTAAGAAAGGTAAATCCCGGCATTAAATGGATGCATTGTATTATTCATCGTGAAGCACTAGCTAGCAAGAGGATGAGCCCTGATTTAAGGCTGTTATGGATGATGCTGTGAAGATGATAAACTTCATCCAATCTCGGCCATTGAATCACAGGCTGTTTGAAACTCTTTGTCATGAGAACGGCACAGAGCACGATCAGCTATTGCTTCACACAGACGTGCGCTGGCTGTCTCGTGGGAAAACGCTACTGAGACTTTATGAACTTTGCAATGAAGTTTTTGTGTTCTTGACGGAGCATCTGCATCCTCTTGCTGTGCAGCTTGAGGATGATAAGTGGGTGGCGCGCCTGGCATATCTTGCTGATGTGTTTACCAAACTCAACGAGCTCAACCTATCACTTCAGGGCAAGGAGTCACATATCCTGAAATTGAATGACAAAGTTCAAGGATTCACAAAAAAGCTCAAACTATGGGAGAGGAAATGTGATGAGGGAGACGTGATCTGTTTCCCACTACTCAATGCCCATCTTGCCACCACTGCTGTTGCCATGGGTCCAGTGGTCAAACTGGTGCAAGCACACCTGTCCAAACTCTGCACTGATTTCAGCCATTATTTTCAGGACATTGAAAATAAGTCAGAAAGACTGGATTGGGTGAGGAACCCATTCATTGTGAGTGAGAGCAGCAACAGCCTTCCAGCAATGCTCCAGGAGCCACTGATGGAATTATCATCTGACCGTGGTCTGAAGATGGCATATGCTGAGAAGTCATTGACTGAGTTTTGGTGTGATGTGGAGAAGGAATATCCTGAACTGGGAAAACATTAACTGATTGAACTTTTGCCGTTTGGTTCTACTTATTTGTGTGAGGTGACCTTCTCAGCTTTAACACACATCAAAACCAAGCAGAGGAACAGACTGGATGTGGAGACCAGCCTGTCACAGCTGTTTCCACACTGCCTCCAGAACTATCAAAGCTTATGAAAGACAAGCAAGCTCAAGTGTCTCATTAAAGCTCACATGACTGGTGAAAAGAAACTGCTAGGCCTATACTGATTCTGGATATTATTATTAAAGTGTTTTGTTCCTGAATTAAAGTTTAAATGCCTGTTTAAAGGGGACTTATTCAAAGGGGCTCCAGGTTTAAGCCTAAATGTTACAAGATATATATAGCAAAGATAAGTAGATTTTTTTTATTTCATATGTATTTATTTGATTATATTATTTATTTTCAAGGCAACAAATTCATTTGTATTTATTTTTATTGAGTGATTTAAGTTAAAGTTAAGAAAATGCCTGAGAATTAGATGTTCAAATTAAGGAGATGAAATAAAGTTATTTTCATTCAATAATCAGTTACGTTCTACTTGTGAAGGATCATCAGCACGTATGAGTGAGAGGGTACTCATGGTATGACAAAAGGCTCACGGGGTACACAAGACAAAAAAGGTTGGGAACCACTGTTCTAGAGATTTAAAAATGTTACTGGTATTTGGTGTTGTTAAAAAATATATATATTTGAAAATGCTAATAGTGATGAGATAATTAAAATTTCTCCTGCAATTTTCTGAAGTCTGTACTGACCATGTGCCGGATGCCTTCAATAGACTAAAGAACATTATCTGAGTCCAAACAAGGGTAATTATTGATATGTATTATGAAAAAGCCAGACAAATTGTCTTAAACAAACATTTTACCTTAAATTGTGAATGTGGCAGTTATTTATTTTTCAGTATAATTGGTCTGTTAAACTATGCCTGGTGTTGCAGCTAACACTTTGTAGTTTAATTTGCACTACATTCAAAGTCAAAAGTCATCATATCCCTTCCTATTTCCTTTCACACAGAATAAGCTCTTAACTAATGAAGTGCAAAGCATTTGTGTAATTATTTTCATTAGTGCACTTTTTGCTTTTGTGGAACAGGGTCTTAAAGAGACAGGCGCTACAACGGAGCTTTCAGTTAGAGGTTGAACACAGGTTTACTCAGACAGACAGTATAAGTAAAATCATGTGATTTAAGTATGATATCTCTGTTTGAAGAGGTTAGTGATGTAAATATTAATTTAGAATCTTACATCTTAATAAGAAAGTGATGAGATGATAATTATAATGTAGCAAAATACTCCATGTTTTTTATTGTGTAGGTCGACTGAGCCGTATTTGTCTCAAACGGTAGTGAACTCTTAGCTTTGTGCTTTATTGAGTCACTCTGGAGCTGTAGCTTGGTGCACTCCAAGCTGTTGTTCCGACCACCAGATGTTCAGATGCATTATTCATTCTGATATGTGTTTTATGTATAAAAAAAATCTCAGCACGGTTTGTCATTTCAGTAAGCGAACAAAACAACAACTGTTAAAGAAACCTGCCAAGAGTTCTCAAATAGTACTGAACCACAACACCTTGCTCAGTAGTGGTTATTTAACTCATCAAACAATCTTGTTGTTCACCCTGTATCATGCCTCATTATAAAACGTGAAGCAGCTTAGCAACAGGTGCAAGCTGATCTGTACAGCACTTATAAGCTCTGTGTTTTACTGAACTGGGTCAAATTGACATTGAGTTAAAGCATTATACACTGTACGAAAAGCCAGTCAATAAAATAAGTTAGTGTTTTCCATAATGACTCAGTAACCCCGCATTTAATAACTGCACAATAAGCTGCCATTGGTAGATATATTAAATATAGTTTCATGCCAAACAGTTTATTTCAAAAATGACATACTTGAAAAATGCTCTGAAAAGCAATAGGAGAAGGATGGGATTGAAACATTCTTCAGGAATAATCATCAATGCCACCATAGGTGATGCGTTGTTTGAACTTGAGCCATACTAGTAGCTTAAATGATATCGCTGCCTCTGTAGATTTGAATTTAACTATTTGTGTGTCGAAACTTTAGGATGTTAAATAGCAAATGGCTAGAGTTACCCCTTGTACTAACATAAAACAGTGGTTGCCTTGTAGGGATGAGATTAATCCAAAAAAGGTACCTCTAACCTCTTACTAGTGTTGTTAAACACATCAACAAGAGTCAGTGAAGAGACCAGAAGGTCTGTTGGTACAGTACTTGTAGCTTGTAGTGTTCCAAGTATATGTTTACGTATGTGTTTGTTATTTGTGTAACTGTACTAGAAAGCATTCCACTTGATTGGCTGCTGTTTTTACTCTAAATTTGTAGAATGAAGATGTGTTGGAATTAGTTCATATATATTTAGATTTCTTAAACTATGAATGGGTTATAGAGAAACCCACATTACTGTCTTATCATTATAATTTATTTCTTATTTAATTTGTGATGATGTTCTTACCTGGACTGTGGTTGGTAGCATCCAGTGCTTTAAAGACTCAACTGTATTGTCATTGGGTAGAACCACCGGATCACGCAGATCCATGTCCAGAGCCACAATGCATGTTGGGTAGCAAACAGCATCTGCAAGGAAAAAGAAGAAAAAAACACAAGTCAAATAACACTTATCTTTAACAGTCATTAGCATCTGTTGAATTTATTCATGTTCAAACATTAAAGTGGACCTATCATGCTATTTTTAGGCAATAGCATAGGTCTCAGATATATAAAAATATATAAAAAAAATGTCTTTGAAGTGTTTTCCTCAAAATACCAAACAGTTTGGTATTTTGAGGAAAACACTTCAAAGACATTTTTTTTATATATTTTTATATATCTGAGACCTATGCTATTGCCTAAAAATAGCATGATAGGTCCANCCAAGCCACGGCTTTGAAATTGGTCCGTGCGCAAAGCATTGTGGGGATTTGAAGGACGCGAAGTCTACCCATGTGCAGCCTCAAAATTACCCCCAAACCAAGGACGCGGCCTCGGTGGAATTCCAAGTATGCTGGAGATTGGAACAGTCCTTCGGCGGCACTCGATGACGTAGTATCCTTGAAATATTGGCTTGGAAGCCAGTTTCCTCGCGGCCATTGATTACTGTGGACAAAACCCACAGGAGCAATTTAGNTCATAATTAGATATAGTATTTATTCTCGGTACAGTTTATGTTGAAACCGTTAGAGTGGCACTCTTGTTAGCCTGTTCCATTCTTCTTTGTTTTCCGAAGCCGTGGCTTGGAAGTATACTTGCTTCGTTTCTGAAGGAAGTGACTTGGAAGTATGCGACTTCCAAGCCAGTATCCTCGCGATTGAGAAACGGCCAATATGTCTAATATATGTAATGTAAAGCGCTTTGCGCACTTGGTAAAGAGCTCAAATAAACACCATGAATTATTATTATTATTTTATTTTTAAGACAGAAAGATGCACTACCGTCATAAATGTATTGTTTGCTTGGTGTGTAACCTGCCAAGCCAAAAACCATTCAGGCATAGGTATCTTTGTTGTTTGACAGAATATAATCAGGACTGTTGGTTTTTGGATGGGTTAAACTCTAGTCCCAGATAGGTTACACTCACCGACATCCATCCCCTGTTCACAGCTGTACTCTACCGAGTTGAGATTGGGAGGAGGAGAGCACGATCCCTGTAGCGTGGAGCACATGGTGAACTCTGCAGTCCATTCACCACCCTTAGAGCAGCGGATCTCCCTCTGGAAACAAACACAAATTAAACTCATTGTGGTCATTAATGGCCTATGGTTGGCCTACACTTCTGTCTTTACACAGCTCAGTATGGGAAAACAGTTATTCAGTCAGTTTAGTTTCAACCATAATTATTGTTTTATCATGCGATATAAATAATGCCTTAGTTTCAGTATTTACTTACATTCTCTGTGGTATCCGGGCACCTCAGGGTGCAGAGGGAGTCATAGTACAGGCCATTGGTGCAGCTGTACATGCCCTGGAACACATCGGGCAGGGCTGCACAGGATATGGGCTCACAGGTACTTGTCTTCCACTGCCCCCCCTCCAGGCACTCCATCTTTAAAAACTTCCTAGAGACAACAGTCGACAATTGGCACATCTCTGAGTGATCTCAACTCTAGGTGAACATTTTTTTGATTTACATAAAATGTATATAAAACAACTTTTTATTGTACTTTTTGGGGGTTCACCTCTTCAGTCGCGTATTATATACGTGTTTGTGCATGTACATTGTCTGCAAAGGCTAAAATATCAAAGTTTACTTCAATAACATGGTGACATCACTTTGTAACATTAGAGCTTCTATTGGCTAGCGTTTCAACATATTAAGTGATGGGCCAAGGGGTGGGACATGTGTAAGCAGTTGACCAATCCCAACAGAGCCAACTGGGCTCTGGTTTCAGACAGAGGGTGGAAGGAGGTGCTGCAGCACAGGCAGTATGAGAAAAATAAAGGCCTTTTAAAGTTGCAAACAAAAACTGGTGTCGTTTGACCAGTCCTGTGAAGTAGTTTTAGTTTCATTAGAGTTTCAGAGAATTATTTATTTCTCGTTTATTGCTCGTTAATGTTCAGTTCTTTGTGTTGTTTTAGGTTTTCTGGTTGTCCATTTGTCACATTCTCGTTAACATAATATCTCAGGAGGGAATTTCTTCTAATTTGGCACAAACTCTCCATTTGGACGAAAGAATGACATCATTTAATTTTGTTGGTCACTGTGACTTCATGTCTGTCCTATTTTTCTTGAATGCCATACCTCCCAAATGTTTGAGATCATTATTTTCAATTTTGAGACAAATGTCCACTTGGGCTAACGCTGTACTGGTAATATTTAATTGGTAAAAATATCAAATGTCACTGAGACCTCACTCAACCCGTAACAGCCATAACTCAAGGATGGATATGCTAATATTGACAATTGCTCACAAGTTTCTGAAAGGATAAAATATATGAGTAATGACATTTTGGACAGACTTGACCAACTGGTGGAGGCATACAAACACGAGGGAGTCATTCCAAAATCAACCTTAGCTTATTGCTGTAAATTTGGACCATGAGCCTAGGACAAAGAGAAAGCTGTGGTAGATATTATTGTTATTAAAAATATTTGGTTGTATTGAGGTTCCTTATAACAAACTCCTTCTCCAACATGCACTCTTTACACCTCAACGCCATCTCTACTTTTTCAATTCACTTTTACTGTTTCGATAACCAAACATATACAGAGTGCAGAAGACTGCCAATTCTACAGTGCACTAATCAAATGTATGTTGCATGTTGTGTTTAAATGCAACCGTTTGTGTAACAATGAAGATTTATGTGGGAACATGTGTCAAAGGTAAAAGTGAAAGTCCTATTTCGCTGCTGCTGTTCACGTTCACATGTTGGACTAATAAAGCATCAGGTTATTAAAATGTTTACGCATACTGCATGTTTGAGAAGGCATTACTCATAAAGAAACACAGCTGCTAATGGAGATAGTTTTTCACCATATTAGGTGGAAATTACATGTATACAACACTATAAAGTGTATATATTTGATTGGTCTTATATGATGGTAAAAGTCAGCTTGTTATATTTTTTACACATAATGCATTTTAAATACAATAAGCCAGAAAAATAGTGCATCTGTATTTTACGTTAAATTAACTCAGCAAATTGATGGTTGCTATTACATACAGAAAAGTGTGAAAGAGCTATCTGACTCCATTTTATGCAGGATATAAAATCACCATAGAGGTTGTGTCTCTTCCTATTTGAAACTCATTACCAACATGTGAAATGTACCGTGGCCCTGAAGTGCAAGACACCACAGCATTTCACAAAACACAACAGCCTTTCACAAAACGCCACAGCCTTTCACAAAACGCCGCAGCCTTTCACAAAACGCCACAGCATTTCACATTGGACGGAAAGGGTATTCCTTAGGGAGAACACTTCTTGTTTGTGATTGGATAGAGCCAGCCAGAGAAACACTGCTGTGATTGGTTGTTTTTGCTGCCAGTCAAGAAATGACGTTTGGCCCAACACATCAGCTGTTAGCTGTTAGCACACACTCAGAGCTCACAGCTCCTCATAACTGGACAAAAGTTAAACATATACAAAACACAGACTGTCTATGTCATGGCGAATACAGTCGCTGCTTTATTTATGTCTGTATGACGTTGTTGTGAGTGTGGACGGAGCAGCTACAGGTTAGTTTAGCCTGATGGATCCGATCCCGATAGGATTTACATGGAGATACGCCCCGCCCCCTCTCCAGCATCTTGTTTGAATGACAGGAGTAACACAGAATGAATGCTTTATTAATTCATGGTTTTTAAGGGGCTTATCTCCATGTAAATACTATGGTAGACTACCCAATATTCGCATCGCTCTAATCACTCGAGTTTCACCCAGGTTTCACCGCGCGGCTGTCAGCTGTGTTTGCTCCTGTCATTCAAACAAGTCGCGCTGGAGAGGGGGCGGGGCGTATCTCCATGTAAATCCTATGGGAGATACCAACTACAACCAAATGAACATATTTGACCGTGATTTAAAGGTCACAATTCATGGCCATTTCCACTGATCATAATTCCATTGTTGAGGTATACTAAAATAGAAAAATACTGTGAAATTTTCCAAACTCACATCGGTTTCGCATACAGCATCTCTGTAAAGTATGTGTATTCAGCAGTATTCACTTTCTCCACTAAACGGCCCGCTGCAGCTCCTCCCCCCCCCTAGCGATACACAGCCAAACACAGCCAAACTCAACCTGAACACACACGAAGTCACAGCCGAAATGAAAACAATAAGTGTGGCTTGATATTTATTAATTCATGGTTTTTAAGGGGCTTATCTCCATGTAAATACTATGGTAGACTACCCAATATTCGCATCGCTCTAATCACTCGAGTTTCACCGCGGCTGTCAGCTGTGTTTGCTCCTGTCATTCAAACAAGTCGCGCTGGAGAGGGGGCGGGGCGTATCTCCATGTAAATCCTATGGGAGATACCAACTACAACCAAATGAACATATTTCACCGTTATGTAATTGTAATACACGTTTCAAAGTGATGCCAAAGTAACTACATACTGATAACGGTTAGTAAAAAACATGAATTAACGCTTTGACAAGTCTGCAGACAAGACGGCAGGCGAAAAGCTTTTAAAATGCGTGTTTTCTGAATGGAATCGGATCCATTAGGCTAAACTAACCTGTAGCTGCTCCGTTCACACTCACAACAACGTCATACAGACATAAATAAAGCAGCGACTGTATTCGCCATGACATAGACAGTCTGTGGTTTGTACATGTTTAACTTTTGTCCAGTTTCTGAAAGGATATGAGGAGCTCTGAGTTTGTGCTAACGGCTAATGTGTTGGGACCATGGTTGGGACATAATGCGCTGGCTGGCTCTGTCCAATCACGAACAACAAGACAGTGTTCTCCCTAAAGCAGGGGTTCCCAAACTTTTCTGCCCACGACCCCCAAAATAACAGCGCCAGAGCCTGGCGACCCCCTGTCGACGGGGGGGGGAGGGGGTTGGGCTGGGGTCCATGAGTGTTTCTTATTGGTTAATTGGTCCTTGGTATGAAAAAGTTTGAGAAAAACTGCGCTAGTGGATTGTCAAAGGGGGAGCCTCGTTATTATTAATAATTTTTTATTTTTTTTATTTTCCATTTTTATTTTTTTAATCATCTCGCGACCCCCACTTTGGGAACCCCTGCCCTAAAGGAATACCCTTTCCGTCCAATGTGAAATGCTGTGGTGTTTCCTGAAATGCTGCGGCGTTTTCTGAAATGCTGCTGCGTTTTCTGAAATGCTGTAGCGTTTTGTGAAATGCTGTGGTGTTTTCTGAAATGCTGTGGTGTCTTGCACTTCAAGGCCACCGTAGAAGGTGTTCAGTAATGAGCAGTTGCCCAATGAATACAATTGGCAAAGTTACAACAAGGCCCAGCTGCGGTACTATTTTATTGGACCCTAATTTGAGCTTGTTTTGAAACAGAACATAGTTTTGCAAGTGATGGACCACAGCCTCTTTAAATTGTACCCGTCTATATTTAAGACTTTACTATTGAGGTTACGGTGTTCATGTAGTCCATTGTTACGCTGTTGGAAAGAAGGCATTTCCTTAATTACCGGACAGGCATGTGTGATAACAACCATACATTTACTTCAGTCTGTTATCTACACAGGTTTTACTTAAAAGCACTGCACAACCCAGTACATTATGATCTGTTGTCCATGTGGTTCTTTAATGCCCTTGAACAGAAAAATACGACATTTTGATATCAACACATGTTGATGAAAAGGGGAAATGTTGGTTAGCTAGCTGTTGCGAAAGACGTCAGTCTCTATCTGATGATGTCACATGATTGACCTGATGATATTCAAACATAACTGGTTATTGAAATTATGCTTTTTAAATGTTGAAATGTTTTATTTATGTGAAAGTTTGTTAAATGAATTTAACTATAAGGGGCACATTGGCAGATCACCGTATGGAGCCCACTGGTCTCCTCTTGGTAAAATGAACTGATAAAGTTGTGATATAATATTTTAAATAAATGTAAAAACGCCCTCCAAATCCTGGCAGCTGTATCTTTGTGCACTGAGCTGCTGCAAAAAGTCCCAAAACACTTACCGCGGTGTCTTCTTTTTGATGCTCCCCATTACATAGAAGCCTGTGTTGCATTTGTAACGGCACACAGAGCCAACATCGTGCCCTGAGGCCAGGCAGTCTGCAGTAAGCAGTTTGGCATTGGGTATGTCTGGAACCTCTGCACACTCGATCTTGCAGTAGGCCTCTGGGAAAGACCAGAGACCGTCCTCCAAGCACACCAACCGGTCACTGTCACCTGAGGAGAGGTGAGGGAGTAATATTCAGAGTACAGTGTGTGCCTAACACAATGGTGCAATGCAGGAAAATATACTTGGTAAACAATGGGCTATTTTCTCTGTTATTCTAAACCTGCATAAACCTTTTTAACCTCTGCCAATGACGTTATACTTTAGGTTTGATTCATTGGTTTGTTTGTCTGTTTATCTGCAGGATTACCAAAAACGAATTTTCATGAAACTTGGTGAAAGGATTAAACAAAAACCAAGGTAGATCCATAACATTTTGGAGCGGTCCGAAACACTGGACATTATGTATCACTTATGGAAATGGCCTTGGCGGAGGTCTGCACTCTCTAAGTGCCCCTTCTTGTTGATGTATTAAATGTGCTTTGGTGGTTATGGTACGTTTCTTTGGGGATTGTTTTTATTCCCCTTCGAATTGGCCTCCATAGAATCTTCCTCTGGCCTGCTTTAAATGATGAGCTTAATGATCATAAGAAGTGAACTCAAACTCTGTTATATAGAGTGACTTTTAACTTCTGGGCAGATTCGATTTCACCTCCACAAGATTTTCCATTGCCTGAATCAAAGTGCAGATTGTATTGGACATGAGTTTTCTACAGGATTCCCACATCTTTTCATCAAACAGATTTTTGAAGGAGATTTTATGGCCCAATTCTCTCAAATTTAAAAATCCACCACAGCAAGGGAAAGTCAAGGTTCTTACTGTAACAACACAGATCATTTGTTTATGCACGCATTCATGCACAATTAAAGCGACACACTCGAGGCAGGTGGCGAGTGAAAAACAGCATAACTTCAATGAAACACATGCAGATAAAAAAATGAGTAAGTGACTTATAACGTTAAGTATTGTTTGTTACACAGCAATATTGATATGGATTTAACATTTCCTTACACTAATCAATAAGCTACTGATTGTAACAGACCAAGTTGCGATTTGGCAGCAAGTGTTTATTGAATTGCTAATGTTTCAACTTTTCATTTGAAATAAGAAGATTGTTTGACTGCTTCTTCTGAAAGTATAGCCTCATAGCCTTGCAGACATATTTTTCACAAGAGTTGTATTTGCTGCACTGTATAACTGAAATAGAAAGAAGTACATGGGAAAGGCACAAGTAGGTCAACAGCATGAATTGATTTCTGTCCGGCTAAACATTCTGCTTTTGTTTCATGGCTCTGTCTAGTACCGTTATGAGGAAAAGGAGACCATGTCTTCAACATAGCCCAAAGCTAATATTTGCTATGCCTGTATGGCCTCACATGAAGCATGAGCGTTGGTGTGCATGTGTGTGTGTATGCAGAATCATAACACCCTAAACCTTTCACATTTTTTATTGGGTCTATAAAATGTAATGAATCTTTAACATGGCATCACATTTTTATAAGCTATTTAAACATTGCGCTGGTGTGGTGATGATGTAAATCCATTAAAGCTGTGAGTGTGTGGAATATATTCTCCTGAACTACACAGTGTGCTTTTTTCCCCTGCTGAGTGATGCTTGAAGGCCTTCGAACATATTTCACTCAACCAAAAGCCACAAATCAAATTATTTCTACAAAATCTGAATTTAGACCATGGATACACGGGTCTAACTGCTGACTCTACTACGAAATTTGAGCGCTAGCTGTGGCTTTCCGACCACAAACACAAGTGTGTGGACATCACGCTTGCTCCGTCTAATCATTTCAAGAAGCTGCATCTACTACATTGTGTAACTTTACCAAGGAGGTGAAAGGTTTTTCCTTTTTGCGGCCACAATATTTGTTCTGACTCATTAGGGTGTTAGTTGTATTTTTAAAAGCTTTGTAGACATTTGAGTATAAGGAAATTGTGTGTAAAGGGAAGAGAAAATATGCCATATACTGTAGCTGTCTCTATCAGTGTTCATCCTGAATTTCATTCACTGCAACCCAAACTAACACTTTAAAGGCCATAACGTAAAGAGTCAGCAGCAAGTTTCATTGAGAGAAGACATGTTTGTGATTTTGTAAAGGGAATTCCCACTGTGATTTTATTGCAACTCTGTAGATTAGTTCCCCTTCTGTTAGCTTTTTTTTTAAACTAATTTGTTTTAAACACTGTCAATTATAACAGGATGGGAAAAGCCAGGCCTCCAATTTAAACTGTAATCGTGTGAAATAAAGGTTTAATATCCATTTCATTTTATGGACTGTAACTAGTGGAAGCATCTTGCTGTTTTTTGTCTGCTCACGAGACTGGGCTGTCACTGTCATTAGGTAGGTCGTAGCAGCAGAGATCATGTGTTTAATTGTAAGAAACTCAAAATGAGGTTGATAAAAGGAGGTTTCTCAGATAATTATTGTATTTTAGTTTGCCTTATTGGGAAAAGCAGACAATGAGAACTAATAGTATTGTAAATGTAGGCAATATGATTTTTGAAATTACGAAAAATAAATAATTATTTGCATGGTTAAGCCTGACACCGATGCTATGAAGTATGACCATGTCGTTTTGTTCCTGATCTACTGGTTTTAACAAAGAAAATAGCAGTGTTTCATTTTGGATACATTCCAAAAATACACGACTAATTTGTTCTCTTAATAAACAATCACAAATCACACACTGCTCTTGTGCCTTTATCGCTGTTAGCTAGCAATGTTATCGTTAGCGCTAGCACATCGACTTTTATTCCAAACTAGTCAATGGCACGTTTATTAAATTGTGTGAAAAGAAACACATGTTTTACTTTTATTTGAATAGCTTAGAGCTACTTTCATCAGAGCACCTGCAATCATGTCTGGTCCCACATCTGTTAAGTATCCAAGATGGCGATCATTGAGTGCGTGAAGTGTCCTCACTCAACTTTTTGACTGTTATGAGTGCACCCTCCAGTTACTGCATTTAGCAATACTTTGCACTCAAAATAGCAAATGTAAGTACGGAAGTATGCAAATTGAGACACAGCATATGTTTTAGATGAGACTTGACTAGAGTTAATAGAGAGAATAGAGCAGAATAGACAATGACTTACCTTGCAGTATAGCTGGTGATCCACAGGTGAAGGAGCATTGTTTTCCAAAGGTGGTTCCCCAGGGGCAGCTGAATATAGCGTGGTAGACATGAGACTGATCGGGCAGGGCGCAGTCTACAGGCTGACAGCTGACCACACGATCCCAGGAACCATGGAAACACTCCAGATGAGCATCTCTCTGAAATAAAGACAGGGGAACATCACATAATGACAAAAATGAAAACATGTTTTGTTCATAATAACAATGAGTTTGTTCAAGTTAACTGTTAAAAAAAAATATTAAAAAAACAACAACTGATAAACATGTTAAAAGTGAAATTGCGTTCACAGTCTAATTAGGTAGATTCCATTGCCAATATTTAAGCATTTGCCTCAACCGTTTGTATTATTCAGAAGGGATTTGGTACATTTTAACCCTATGACATATTGGTTAGGGTATACAATGGCCTATACAATTCCTAAACTTCTCTCTGAATAATTTTGACACGTGAGCTTTTCCTTTGAAATGCGGTGTCATCTGCATACACTCTATTTGGTTTTATATAATGTATTATTCACTTAGCATGTTTTTTTTTAATCAAAAGAAGATGTTACTATCTCTGGCATAATACACATGTGTTTACCTATGTATAACTTTGGATGACTTCACATAGAAACAGTTCAACAGATAATACAATATTCAGTGTACCTGGTGGGATACGGTTCCCCTGCTGTTTTGGACACTGATGCTGAAACCATGACGACATTGAACTGAGCAGTGAGAGGACTCCCCTCCTCCTGTACACCTACAGAGAAACACTGATATATAGATAGTCCTTTTGTTTGCTGTGTCAGCTCTCTCATTGTTCAGTGTTTCATTGCAAAGGGCCTACCTGACAGTGGCGTGCTCTAAATGGGGAGGCCTGCAGCTGTCCAACTGACACGGTTGCCGCAAACAGCTATATCAGGAGATGGAGGACAGGTGGAGATGGAGGGAGAAGGGAGAAGGATGAGAGGCAGGGAGAGACAGAGCAACTAGGAGGCCTAAACTGATCACTAGTTTTATATAAGAAGTATTTCAAGATTTGGGGAGGCTGTCATTTTGGTAATTAACCTGTTATGTTATCATCAAATATCATACCAATGCCTTGCACAAAAATGCTAAGATCACACATTTTTCTTTTGTACGTGTTAACACATTTTTAAAGTTGGGTTGGTTAGAACCCCAGACTAAATTACCGAATAAATTACTGAATACCTCTCTTTGTATACCATCATAGATGGTAAGATGGCCAAGGCGATTCGTACTGTTTTCGGTTTAACAGTCTGTTCTTCTACTACTGTTGGTGGATAACAGTCATGTGTAAAGGGTAGCCTAGTGTTTTATTTGTCAGACTTTTCTAGAGCTTGCTTCAAACTTGCTTGGCAATTGAATGAAAACAGAGCTACTGACATGCTGTGTATGTGTGCGCATGTGTGTGAAAGCATGTGTGTGTGATAAGTAGGTAGTTGTGGGAGAGCCCACCCTCAGATGCGCACCCGGTCAGGGCGAAGGTGCTAAAGTGGCAGGAGGTCCTCAGGGCCACGCCTCCCACTGCCACAAAGGGGGAGGAGAAGAGGAGGATAACAGACGCTGTGATGAAGAAGGGTCGAGAAAGGTCATGGGTCACATTCACCACCAACGGGTTCCGATGGCATGAGAGGTCATGCGTGCCTAAGTAGAAGAGTTCAAAGTAGTCCTTTAGCTTCTCACCATGCCAACAGTTTGTTGTGTTGTTAAGTTATTGGTTTTCAAATACAAATAAAAAGGCACCTAGTGAGTGGTTTTTGCCAGTAGTATCAGACAGGAGGATGGTGGCTGTCCTCCGGCATTGCTCCCCAGACCATGACCCATCTGAAGCCAGGTACACCATCACAGAGGCTGCCACTCCAGGGTGGAGAAATCCCACCTGGATCAATGACGAAAATTACAATATTTATATAAGGAAAAAAAGGTTTATTCATACATGAATATGGGTTTACTGCAAATGAAATACTTTACATGACACATTAATAAACAGTTATACAGTAGACCATGGTAGTCAGGAAGGGGTAGATTATTGACCCAATGCGCTTTCCAATTATTAGGGTTAGGGTTGGCAAACTAAGGGTTCTGTTCCTTGTCACTGAACAAGAAACTCCTTGAGGTTGCCCAGTGGCCTGAACAGTCTAGGGAGGACTGTTCAGACCATGTGGCAGATAAGACATTTGACTGGTAACACACTCACCGAGTCATGTTCAGTCGGCCACCTCTGGTCTGAAAAGTTGAAGCCAATGTGAAATTGCCTTGAAGTTACATTCTGGCCAGAAGGACGCTTTCAAAGTCTGTAGAACTCTATGAAAAAAATGTACCTACTTCGAACTTGATTTATTAACTTGTGTGTCATCAACATTTTTTTCCAACACCCTTAACACTTCCAAAGTTAGTTTTCAGTGTATGAAAGTTAGTTTTAGACTTTTGGTGGTCTAAAATGGTTGTGTTCAGCATTTGGTCGTTTTTGCTCTGCTTTTTTGTATCACTACACGTTCAAAGGCACTAAGATGGCAATGGCCAAAAACCAGTGGTTGACGTAACGGTGACTATGTTCATTTCTTATAAACAGTCTATTATCATGGTAGAAACTTGTCAGTTTGCAGTCCTCCAAAAGAGATTGCAAGGACATGAACTGAGCATAACAAGAACTGGGCATTAAAAAGGAGGAAAACAGGGTATTGCACAAAAGCAAACAAGCCACAACGAGTACTAAGAGGTCTGTCTGGAGACCACTAAGTCACCACAGGAAGAGCAAAGTTTGGGTGCTGTTACAGTACATGTCCTAATCAATGCATGTGCATGTTGCTGCATGGCAGGAACCGTATAGTACGGTAATTGCGTTCTGACTAAAAATCAATGTAACTGCTTTGATTCCAAATGAACCTTAACCTGTGTTCTAATGATGGATATTCAACTTTTCAGAGCCACCTGCTCACAGACTGTGTCTCTCATACTGAAAAGATGGATTTTGGAGTATCACTTTTAGTTTAGTAAATTAGTAAGGGCTTCCTAAGTGCAACTCTTTTATAGTACGGACGCCTTAAAGAGAGTTTGCAGAGATGGATATGATAGCTGACGATGGCTGAGGAACACTTTTCAAAGAGAGCAAGACTGTAATTCAAATGAGGGTGCCTTTCAGAGACGGAAAGAAAAACGTTAAGGACAGGCGGTTATCATGAAGGCCCTTCAGACAGTGAAAGGGTCTTTAGAGAGAAAGTGGCCTTCCAGAGATGTTACAGAGGTGTGCCTGATAGGAGGTGTCCATAGAGAAAGCAAGGGACAGAAAGACGAGTCATTCAACAAAGTAGTGGAAATGGTGATAGATAAAAAATAAATGAATATGTGCAAAGGAAGGAAGAAGCAGGCTCATGACAGTAAAGGAACCTTCATCCAGAGCACGGCAGACATGTTTATGAGGCTATCACTCAAATCAACAGCTATCATGTGCTTAGTCTGGACCTGAAGAGTGGATTTTGGGAACTGTGGCTGTGGAAAGCCTGACTTACAAAACATTTAAATATAAGAACGATACACAGGTCTGGAATGGAAAGCCGGCTCCAAATACAATGCAGTACACAAACCTGCATGTCTATGTGAAGCACTGTTGGCTAGTGAATGTTGGGGCTGCAAAGAACAGCAGGACTTTAGGCAAGCATATCAACTAAACAGCAGCCGCAGCTTCTGTAATCCTCTCACAATTTCATGTGTCAACAATTCATAACATTACTTTATGATGTGTCATTTTTGAAAATGTTTTAAACAATTAGGAGTATCATAGGTAATTAACTTTTTGGTTGCTTTGCATTCTCTGGGGCCAAAATAAACGACAATATAAATGATGTTTTCATAATGATCTTGTAGTGATTACAAAATTGTTATTGTTCATTGCGATGCCAGTGCTATAATAACTTTTAGAACTTTAAGGGAATTTAATTATGAATGATGAGTTAATTATATAACACTTGATCTTGTATTGTTAGTTAACTGGTAATGGTAATTTGTGAAGGATTTGAGTGATTAGTATCCAATGGGTAAAAATAGCACAAAATGCACGCTACAAGAATAAGTAGAGGGTAAGTCATGATTCAGTAATCATCTACAGATCATTAGTACCCGTGATTTAGAGTTGTCTTGGGAAATGAGTAATTAAAGTTAAAAAAAATCCATTGTATGAATCATGCAATTGTGAGAAAGTTAGGAATGTGTGCAGGTTAAAGTCAGCAGACTGTGTGAGGCCCTTCAACGCAATTTTAAAAATACTGGAAAGTGCTGGAAGCTTAAAGAGTAGCCACCCACAGTCACTTAGCGGAGGGGGGGAAATATACAGTATGTATATAGTGCGCACACACACATGTACCTTTAGCCAAAATGGATGTTCCAGGTCATTGTTTGTGTCGGACTGAGCTACACAGGGGAACCAGGCGTCCGTGGGCATTCTCTCACTCACCTCCAGGTGTTGGTACCTGCAAAGCTATATTCAGAACAAAGAAAATTGAATATTATTAACATTAATTTAACTAATCTTGTTTTACTTTTCAAAGTTATCCTGACCTTACCTTTTAATGTGTACATTTAAAATCCTTGTTGAAAATCCCATTTGTTGAATTGGCACATGGTTTAATTTGTGTCTTTGCCACATATTCCACATTATGGAGGAACAAAAATGTAACTTTGATATTATCTGACTGACTGATTCAATACATTTGATTTGATTATTTTGTGTGTCGAGAAAAGCCCACATTCTGTGTGGCATTTGACATCCAGGCAAGGCACGTTTATTTATAGAACCTTTCCAAAAAGGGCAATTCAAAGTGCTTTACAAAAATGAAAAACATTAAGACCATTAAGAAATAGTGCAGCGGAAACACATTATAAAATCACATTTAAAAACAGTCATTAAAAAGCAAAGATAATAAAATAAACATCATACATGAATAACACAGGTATTAAATACATGAATAAAAGTTACAGTGCAGTGTGAGATATGAAAAGCTCAAATAAAAGCAGCAACAAAAAGAAAAGTCTTCAGCCTGGATTTAAAAATAGTACGATTTGCAGCGGACCTGCAGGTATCTGGTAGTTTGTTCCAGATATTTGGAGCATAATAACTGAAAGCTGCTTTTCAATATTTAGTTCTGACTGGGGACAGAAAGCAGACCCATCCCAGGAGACCTGAGAGTTCTGGGAGGTTCATAATTTAGCAGGATATCAGAAATTCAGGACAGAGTCCATGACTACACCTAGATTTCTGGCTTTTTCTGTTGTTTTGAACATTGCAGACTGAAGCTCAGAGCTGACTTTTAGTCATTCCTCCTTGGATCCAAAAACAATTACATCAGTTTTATCTTTGTTTAATTGAAAACAATTCTGACACTTCCAGTCATTTATTTGTTCAATGCATTTACTCAATGTTTGAATTGGAGCATAGTCTCCTGATGAAATGGTAAATGTGTGTGTCATCTGCATAGCTATGGTAACTTATTTTGTTGTTTTTCATTATCTGAGCCAGTGGTAGCATGTAGATGTTAAAGAGGAATGGCCCCAAGATAGAGCCTTGAGGAACCCCACATGTCATATTTGTAAACTCAGATGTGTAGTTGTGCCTGTCATTTAAGTAGGATTCAAACCAATATAGAACTGTTGCCGAAATTCCCACCCAGTTTTCCAGTCGGTCTAGTAATATGTTGTAATATATCAGGCTCATTCATGCTGAAAGATCTCAGGAGATCTGCCAGTTCTGAGATGCTTGGACCAGTGTGTCTGACACCAACAATCCTCCCATGATAAAACAGGCTTGCATCATGTTATTTGCCCAAAGGAGCTGACTAACAGTTACTCTGAAGTTTCCATGCATAAGCTTAATTTGTTTGTTTGTAAATCCTTCCTTTTCAGACTTTTTTCCCTTACCAATTGCTGCTCGGATTCCATCACTTAAACAGAAATAGTTAAATATTAACCAATGCATTGAGTCATTACTGGCTTGCATTTCAATTACGTCATGTAAGTCAGTGTGACCTGAAGAGTTGTGTTACTTTGTTTTCTCTTGAGTGTTAAAACGTGATTCTTATTGATTGATCAGGCCAGATCAATAATCTTGCCAAACAAGGCAAAGTACAGTTTATTGAGGTCTCATGTAAAATGGCTGTTTGTATAACAACTAGCGAGAAGAAATACTGATATTAAAGCATAGTCTTGTTCAGTAGAAACAATGAAGAAATGATACTCCTGTTTTTTAACTTTAACACACCTTTACTTAATCTTTATTCTGCACAACTAAAAACTTGTTGAAAATGTGTTCTGGTCTGATAAGCAGTTTTCTTAGCACGTAATAAACTTGAGGAATTGTTTAATTGTCTTGTAAGAAACTGGCTGTGTGAATAGAAAATAAGTGAAATATAGGGGAGGGAACCGATAATCTGTCTTCTATGATGACTTAGCTGGGGCTGCACTAAGGCCAAAATGTCAAGCCGACAGTACTACCCAGACTAAAATAGGAAAGAGACAAATGCGTCTTTAATTGTTCAGGAATGCAGCCAGCTGTTAATAATGTTGCAGATTTCCAAATCCGTCATCCGTTAGTCTTTTATGTGCCCTGTGGTTGATACGTCATACCTTGGTAAGCGATGGCTCTCCGGTGGCAGCATTGGCTGAACAGTGGTCGGGGTCCTGGTGAGAAGCAGTGGCGGTGGATGCCCATTGGTCGGTGTAGCCCAAAGGTGTGAAGTAACCACAGTCCTGAACGCTGGAGCCCCTCTCAAACTCCTCGCACACACCGTCACCGTCAAAAACATAACACTGACTTGGCTCACCTTGGGAGAAGGATAGGAGAATGAGCCAGGAGCATTTATGAAAGGATATAAAGCCTGTTTTTTATCTGGCAGGGTATACAATCACCCCCCCCCCGTGAAAATCCGATCCAAGTCTATTTGTCAGTGAACCAAATCTGAGCAAATCTTTTTTGTATTTTCATTGGCCACTTACAATGTTAACCACGTCAACTCAACCACATCTGACTCCTCGTGCTGTCAACAGACTGTAAATTATGAGAAGAAATGAACTTTGACTTCAATTAATTTATGAAAATCATAATAATTCTGTAATGTTAATAGGCAGCATGAGAACGTATTATGTGACTTGGCCAGTGAGTTTAATCCCAAAAGCCCAACAATGGGCCCATTGGTATCTATAAGTCACCAAGTATCAACAGTGGCGTTACTGTATGTGTTACAAAGAACTGTCAAAGCGATGATCAAAAGTTGTTCCAGGTCTAAAAATACAGACAGGAAGGTATTTCTATTCCTTTTATTTTGTCTGCTTATAAATGTATCAACTTATCAGAGCTCAAAAATGTTGTAGCATACAGCAAGGGGAAAATAAAATTTCAATAAATACCTGTCCACAGGGGTGGAAAGTAGCAGTGGAGTAATAACACTTAATCTAATGCAACATGATACACTCGTTTTTTTATGAAATTTCTGTCATTATTGGACGGTTGACAGTAAAGCAGGAAAGAAGTTGACAGAAAACTAGGGCTGCCTCTTCTAAGTCGATTTGTCAGCCGGATGATTGTTAGGGTGTTGATGGATAAATAAGCTCTTTCTGAGATGTTTTTGTATGGCTCAATTCATCTACAGAGAGGATATTAGGATACCAAGTTTATGAGGGTTCCACTGTAATGCATGATTGTTAAAAGGCTATAGCAACAAAGATTATACATTTTAAGGCTGTTCATGGTATTCGTAGATCTGCCAGGTTAGCAAGATGCAGGGGTGCGTTTGTCAATTTGAAAGTCAAAGTTTAAATTCAAATTGTGCCCTTTGACAATCTCCTTACGCTGTGACATACTGGACTTTTGTTAGTTCACAACAACAGTTTGTTTGCCCTTTTAGGGCTATACAGGGTATACTTTTTATATAATCTTTAATAAAGAATATTATGCATGCTTCTTAGTTAACATTAAGCTGTCTTTGGCTCTTTTCTGCTGTAACATTTCCCCTCTGATTCTGATTCTGATACCCCATTACTTTTTCTAACCATGGTTTTGTGTCATGGCAATTATGGAATTCAAGCTTAATAAAGTGTAATCCTGGACGTATTTTAAATCCTTAGAGATAACACATGCTCTGATATTATACTGTAAATATGCTTTGTACGAGAAGAACATTTGGTCTTTGTTCACGGAAGTAAGATAAAGGGTTTTATGACTACAGGAAAGAGAGGGAGGAATAAACAAGTTGTTTGGGGGCTTTTACAACATCCTGTATTGGGGGGCATCTGATCAATGATTGGATCTATTTTGATCACCTGGCCCAAATGGTGTTATGTGACATGTAAAGGACCTTTGATGTTTTCCTAAGAGAGTCTCCACAGATAGCAGGATGCACTTTTGGCATACTTTCTTTGGCCTGAAATAGTTATCTTGCAGCAATGATCTCATTTGGACTCAACACAATAACTAAAGAGTAAAAACACATGACAATAAAGTCTGATAAAGGTTAATAAAATCTGCTTAGGATGTAATTGATGATTTTTTTATTAAATAAGGCAGTATGGAATAGGCTTTTATACTTCCTGTAAAAAAGTTGCACCTGAGCTATTAGCAATGAATATTCAATATACTGGACTGACATAATGCGCTACAGGCATTCATCACGAGAAGAGTGGGAAGCATTAGCTGAACGACAGCTTGTAATGCGGCAGTTATTCATAAAAAGGGCGGAAAACATCAATACACTTCAGAAGTTTGGCCTCATTAACATCTGGACAGCTGCAGGAGTTCGACAGACTGAGCAGTGTCGGAGGGTCAATGCCGCACAATTGGCTTCAATTAGTTGACGAAAACATGTTTCTGCTAAAAGGCAAATGAGGCAGCCGACACAATTGAATGCTGTATTGTCATCCCGAGTTCTTTTGGAAATGCTGCACTTAGTGAACTCACCAAACACCTCGCCCCTGCTTTGAAAACCACCTGTGAAAATGATGAAGTCTAACTTATTCCAAGTCTGTGTATTTATCAAGCCTCGCAACAGAGAATGACTTGACCATCTCTGACTTAACTATTAACACCATCTGCTTTTCATTTCAGATCTGCATTCTTTAATGATGATGTGCAATTTAACCCTTATTTAATCCAGCAGTTGAAAAAATGAATCGCATAAAACAACTTCCTTACCAATTACAGCCCATGACTTTTCTGTGACATGATGACTATAAAAGAATATGTTGTGGTTACTGCCGAACTACAGTCAGTTCAATAAACACAACAGAGAAAGACGAGGCAGATCAGGAGTTAAATGGGCCTAGCAAATGTGCCAAGGGAACCCAAACTAATATTTTGTCTATGACTAAGAAGTACAACTGATTAATTGGTTTTAAGTGTAGCAATTTGTGAAAAGCTGTTTTTGCCAAAACATTTTCCCTCTAGTAATGATGTATTTTATTGTTAAACAAGTAATCTAATAGCTTCACTAACGGCATGGCTAGTTGTGGTAAGTGGAGGTCGGTTTACCATGACAAATAAATTGACTGGATGATCGAAACGTGAGCTCTCCTAACACCTAACATTACACCTCATATATACAATACATGGCCTTCAAAGGAAGCAAATCTGACCTGTCACATCTTCTTAGCAATATTATGGAATTTTCCTGAAATTGCCAAAAAGTTAGTTATTGTAAAAGTCATGCTTATTCGATTTAGCGTCTGAAGACTGAGGCGCGTTTGTGGCGAGCATTCCATTTTGGCTGTGGAGGAACACCACAAGCCACAACAGTGGAGAAGATTTCTCGAGTCAGTAGTCTTTCAATAACAAACAGAGAGACTTGGAGACACATGGACGTAGACGTGACAATCCTTCGATTTGTATGAGGATATTAGGAAAACTCTGTCCGTGTCAGTGAATGTATAAAAGTGTGTGTAAGCAAGTATACACGGGTAAACAGCTGACTATGAGGCAAAATGGAATCATCAATGAGGTTTTGTTCGGAACGCTTCATGTCTGGCTTTACCACATTGAACTTTGTATTGAATGTCAAGGTCAAGCAACATATGTTAAAGGAGGAAGTCTTTAACCTTCTGCTTACAATGGACTGCACTCCATATCGTATATTGAGGTGTCTGTTGTGGCCTGTCTGCATGCTTCAGACTCGGCGGTGGCACAGAAACAAAGTTTTATTGTTCTGTGTTGGAATTACAAACGGTCGGGGCGCTCTCTGGGGCTTCTTTGATTGTCTTTTGCGAAGTTTTGTTGCATGTTTTGGGGAATTTTCACTCCTTTTTTAACCACCTGGCCATGGGTTGAGCGAAGAACGTTTGGTTGTGGTCTTCTATTGTATGAATCCAGTCAAGGTTTATTCCCAGGGTGACATTTAACGCTTTGTCACAGCCATCCATTACTGATATGGCCCAAAAGGCTTAATGACTGGACTTGCAAGTAACTACAATATAAACCAATACCAGGAAATATTAGACACTCAGAGCAGGTGCTCCAGGAGCCTAGAGACTTTAAAGAGCCAAATGTTGGTGGAGAATGGAGAATTGATGTATGACTTGGTCAAACACAGAACTGTAACATAGAGGGCTACTCTTTTTGTCCTGTAAAAGTTACGTCACATAACAAACATACGTTTTCTGTGACTGTAGTAGACCGCCATAGTTTTAAGCCAGTGATGCAAGGGTTCCTGACCCGGCCATCCATATATCACTTGTTGGGAACTCATAAACATTATATATATATATATATATAATGTTTTATGTTTTTTCCATTGCAGTTACTTTTCAACCCATTGCAAATGTATACCTTTCCCTATCTGTGTGTGGCAGCAATCATTTGGCATTACTACTACTGTAAATTAGGCAGGTTATAACCATTTGGTTACAGATTTGATTGAAAAGCATGAACTACAACAAAAGCCAGGTGAATCTGTTTAACTTAAAGAGCAACTTCCAGGTTAAAGACACCTGTGAATAAATGTGTAGGAAAATGATGAATACAGTAGATTTTCAAAAAAATATACAGAAATATACACTACAGTGACATCTGGCGTCGTTTTTGTAAGAAATTTTCACTTCCGCATAAAAAAACCTCGGCACGTGACCTCCCGCGTGTGACGTAACAAAGGGGAAACAAGGGGGAGAGCGGCCGGTGTAAAGTATTAATAAACATGGATCCCAATGCTAGTTTCGACACAGAAGACACAGAAGAAGTTGAACATGAATATTCGAATGCATATGACGGACCACGACCTTATAATTATGAGCCTGCTAGGCGTCCAAGAGACCAGGAGCAGCCAAGGATTAGAAGAAATAACGGCCATCGGAGAGAAATTGAGCTGTGGTGTGAGGAGAACCAGTGGAGAACTGGGCAGCTATCTTGGTGAGTGACCGGCGTTAGCTACAGAATGTTAGCTAACGTCACATCACAACATTGTGAAGTTAGCTATCATATATCAGGCTATAACTAACGTAGCATTGATAATATAGTAACGTTACTGGCAGGACTGTTGATACTGATCCATAACAGAAACTAATGCGCAAGTATCAGCCGTATCTCGCGTTACCTAATGCAACTCCACACTANTCGGACAGTCCTTGTAGCTCAGGTGTCATTGATTCCCCTGGGCCTCGATCGCAATCATAGGACTCCACGCAACACCGGTAGGGTTCGGGTAGGGACGTCGTGTATGAGAGGGTGTCGAAATAGG